TGCCCCTAATGACCCTCTTATCCTTGATATAAGGATATATCCTTATGAAGACTTGAAACTGTCTTCATAATGGGAATTCTCTCTTTGTAGGGAAGCACCTGGGGTATGATGTGAAGAGCTTACTTAGACCATCCAGACCTCTGACACAAGCGGTTTGTATGGCATTGTTTTACACTTTTTTTTTTTTACTTTAAAGACTAACACTTAAAACATGATATCCCTGATTGAAAATGTCCCCTTTTTCTGTCTTATTCATGCTTGTCTAACAAACCAAATTGGCATGGAAGCTTTCCACAGAAAATCACTATAAATTTCTGCTTATGAATTTGAGCACTTGTTGGCATGTCAAGTGAAATGACCAGAGAGCAAGTCAGTAGTAGACAGGAATACAGATTCTAATTATCTGCCTCTTCTTTTTGTATTCCACAAAGCAAGACTGCACTTCCACTTCTAAGGAAATAAAGAATGTTCTCACAGAGACCTTGTGCTCTGCTCCTCTACTCTCCAGCAAAGAGGATTAGGTGTGCCATGTTTTTAAAAGACTATTTCTGTTATTCTTTGTTTCAGGGTATAAGCATTGTGTCAACACCTTTTAAAGCAAAGTCGGCATCACTTTCCTCTCGTATAGCAAAATTGCAGCACGCTGGATCTCTTGTACAGATGGTCCAAACAGCTACCTCATTTGGGGAACTGTCCGAGGCACTAAGAAAAGCTATTCTGTGGTGCAAAGGCAACAAATTCAAATCAGCAGCTTATTTTCTGCGTAACAAGTTGTTGAAAAGCAACCGGCTGCACCACGTGGAGGCTCAAGGATGCAGGTAACTTTGCATGGGTGTGGAGTTTCTGGATCTGACACTTTACACTTTAATATTATCTATTTTGCTGGTTTAATCCATTCTTTTAAAATTCAAACAGGATCACTAGTTCAGGACACTGACATGAACATTCTCTTTAGTTTCAGTCAGTTGTGAAAGGATTTAAAAGGTTAACAAATGCACAAATTCTTACGAGGGAGGATGAAAATCCAACTTAAATCATGTGCATGTTTAATGGTAATGGTTTTATGATGCAAGGGGCATTATCTTTATTCAGAATGCCCTGGCTATTACTGTACAAGGTGCTGTTGTATCTCCTTTGTATGACAAGGAAAATTGTAGATAAGGCTACTCAAGTCTCCCCAAATGAAATAACACTTTAGCAGCTGATGAACTTGTTTTTTATGCTTCCTCCCCTTAAGCTTGAAGAAAAAACTGTGCTGTGTCAAAACATCTGTCCGTAAATACCTCCTCTACGGGTCACAAAAGGCAGGCTGGCCAAAGCAGTACCTCAGGGCGTGGCGCTGTCAAAGGAGGATCAAATCATCCACACGCTTGAAGAGAGCTCTGAAGGCTGTTCTGCAAAAACCTGCTGAGCAATTTGGGGTCTGTGAGAACAGTGCTTCACCTGTCCTCCCAGCTTGCCAGGATAGGCCTCTGAGTTGGGAGGGACATTCTGATGCTGATACAGCCTCTGTCAATTTAAGCACAGCAGGGACCCCTAAACAGCTGCTGCTGGGAGAAAGCCCTGGCCCTGTGTGGAAAGCAGCAACAGAGCACATGGATATTGATTCCATTTTTGCAGCAATGGGCATCTGACTCTGGACTTGCAAGGAGGAAAGGGGTCAAGTCATTCCAATTACTCTTTTCTAAGTAAAACTGTAAAAGCCCTAATGGTTTCTTGGTAACTCACATGCTGAATTCTGCTATGAAAGTAGCAATTATTTTATTTTTGTAAAATGGTGCTTTTTTTTTTAATGGGTGTTCCAAACAGCTTCATCCTTTTACCCAGCCTTGTCCAGGAGCAATGACTGAGTTGCCCATACTCAGTGTCCCTTCCCTCTTGCTGGACCACATGTTCAGTGCTGCTGTCAGACCCATGGTGCACACAGTTACCATCCATGGTGGGAGGCTGCAGCTGATCACTTACTGTTGCTTAGGGCAGAAGACTTGGTACCACTTTTCTAAGGAAGCAGTCTTACACCCTTCCTTCTGTGCTGTTCGTACAGGGGACAGCCTTGACTTGTAGGACTGTCACTGTTCATTTGTTATCCTCATCCTGAAATGAAGAGTTAACTGAACCTACTGCCTCTGAGCTGCTCCAGAAATAAGGGATATATAGTAAATACAGCTGTGGCCTGCAGCAGTGAACTCCTGACTGGTGAACATGTTTCTGTCCTGAAATCTCTTAATGTCAGTGCAATTTCTGCCTGCTTGGCAATGTAAGGTGCAGCTACTCCAACATGTATTAATGAAATAATGAACAAGCAATGGGGTTAGTGGTTTCTGCCAGGCTCTTCCTTATAACCAAGTTCCAAGATGAGGAGCACGAGGAAATACTAAGAAAAAATTGTCTCAGAATGAAAAACAGCAATCTGCTTTTCTATCAAGCACTTGCCTAACAGATATGGAAAGGCTGTAAGTGCAAGTAAATCCACAATAGGTTAAGTTAAATTTCCTGGGTTTAATACTGGTAAAAAACAAAAGAGCTGTGCCCACAGGGACAAAAGGAAAAATAACCTTTCAAGCCAATTAAGTGCTAAAACCCCTCTATTCTGCACCTTGTTTGAATTGATCAGTTAGTTATGAGGAGTGGGCACGAACTTAGATGTTTTATTCAAAGAGCATATACAGAGCAAAGAGCAGAACTTCAGTGGTAGTTTGGCCTTGAAGAATTTGTCCAGTTAACCAAGATCCATTTTTTAGGTTTCCTGTCACAGGAATACCCAGCAATAACTGAAATAGTTGTAGTTGATATCTACTTCAAACAGGCTTCCTGCCATTACAAAAATCTTTAGATCGCTTTTCTCATTTCTTAAAACGGTGTAAAAATACCTCAGCATACCACATACAGTCAGGTAACATTCAGCTGCTTGAATGCTTCTCAGAAAAGGCTGGGAGGGCAGACATCCCAACAGTGATCTCCATCCTGAATAACACCCCCCCAGACAGCACATGTGACATTCCCTCCTTTTGGGCAACAGGTGCCCAAGTAATGCCCCAGTGCAGCCTGCACACAGAATCAAGAACCATAGTTTGCTTCGTCAAAGGCCTTTCTGGCTCGTTTCAGTTCTTCATTCATAGTTAGGAGGTCTTTAACTCTGGCAAACTTCCGCGGGTCCTTGCGTATTAAAAAGACAATGTCTTCAACCTGTACGCGACCTTGCCGCCCAATTGACATGGCCTTGTGTGTCTGTTAGAGGAAAAGAGGAACGTCAGCAGGGTTCCCTTCCCCCTTATTTTTTTAAGCTCTCAATTCCACTTTATTTCCTGTCATTTTATAATAAAAAAGTAAGCAACTGCAGGATCTAGGCACCATCATCCTAGTCACAAGAGAACTTCCCAGTAAACCATGGGCTTATTGTCGCTCTGCTGGCCCCAGCTGCCTGTGAATTATACCCAGCCCATACCATTAAGGACACATAACAGTAATGGCATCAAAATGAAAGCCAGATTACACATAAGACACCCAGCCTGCAGTGCCCAAGGATGAACAGCATAAGGCAGAACTTGGAAGCAATGCAAGGTAACTGTATCACACAGTGTAGGGCATTTTGATGAGGGAAGGCCCCAGGAGCTGGCATTTCTTCTGTAGTGCAGAGCTATGTTCCCATCCATGTAAAGCCATTGGCAGAACACAAAAAGTCAATAGACTTTCAAAGCTGAACATTGTCTTTTTGTCAGCTGCATGTACAGTGATGCCACAGTGAAGCCAGCTGTGTATTTCCCCCACTATGATCCTAATCTTCTAGTTAAGGACTTCAAACACTGTTCTAAATCCACACGGAGCAAGATGCATGAATTTTGCTTCAATCTTGGAAAGACAAAGTCTAAGTTTAGCTTTTTCTGACTAGCAAGAATTCAGTATTTGAGTCAGAGGTATTACTCTCCAGAAGACTGAAGTCTTAGAAAGGCTGCTTTAACCATGCTGTCTAGAGCCGACTTACCATTTCTGTGATAAACTCTATTACCAGGTCCTCAAGAATGTCCACCGATTCTGTGTAAGGGTTCTGGTCATCTCCGAATCCATACATCATGCATCTTACTGAAGAAAGAAACACTCAGTGTGAGGCTTCTTTCACCCATTCAGTGCTGTCAGCAGCATGCCCCTAGTCAGAGCTCACCAGCCTATGTATCCACGCACCAGGATGGCACTCTTGTCTGTTGGGCTGGACAACTCTTGAGCAAACGTACAGGAAATAATCAGGCAAATAGAAGCTGACAAAAGCCTAGTGCTGTATTTACAGAAAAGCCCGTGGGACAACAGACTCTTTAAACATGCATTTAGGCTAACAAGTACTGAACACTGACTTTTGGCACAGCAAGGTTCAGAGTATGCATCAGCAGTATTTTTGGGGGCCTACACGACGGCTTTCCACACTTTCAGCCAGGACACAGAACGAAAGCCACTATTTTGCTAAGGAAAATGGAATTTTGGAACTCCGTAGCTGCCTCTTTAGAGTTTCAGCTGTGTCTGGGGGAAGGACATCGCCCCTAAAAGCCGCAGTGAGCCCAGCAGCGAGTGAGCTGGGAGCGCTCGGCAGGGGTTTCTAGCCCGCCAGACTCACGTTCTTTGGAGAACAGCCTCTTCCGCTTGCCTTGCCCGCCGTCCAGGCCCCCGCCGGCTTCTTCGGCG